ATATATACTGTGTATATATATGTATGTATATATATATATATATATATATACTGTATATATATATATTTCTATTATGATTGCAATTAATGTGATAATATTAGCATGGCATGTAAGAGTGATGTTTAAGAATGCTTTAAAATGTAATTTCAAGTCAAGTTTGATCAGATTGTGACTAATTTCTAAAGTCTAACACTATGATGAGCCTTTGAGAGACTGAGGAACAGCTTCTACCCTGAGGCTGTTAGACTCATGAATCTCTAACTAGAATAATCACTGTGAAAAACCATATCATGTTGCTGCTGATCTGTTTCATGTTGCTGCTGATCTGTTTCAATGTTGATGTGTTCATGCGTGCACATCTGCTCACAGACTCATGTTCATGTTTGTGCTGATGTTCAATGTTTTATGTTATGAGTGCTTAGTGTATATTTAGTTGATGTTTTTCTTAGTTCATATCTTAGATGTTATTACTGTTTTTCTTAGACATTTTATTGTTGGATGTAACTGGGACCCCGTGTACATAATTTCGCTCCACCACATGTACCACATGAGGTGCGAATGACAATAAAGAAACTCTGACTCTGACTCTGACTCTAAAGTACAAGTACAGCTTTGTTTTAAATTTAAAATATTAATAGTTTCAGTGACTTTGTTCTAAAATCATTCCTATGGTTGTCCCAGCAATAACCATACCATACCATACCAGTTTATTTATAGAGCACTTAAAACAGCAACAAGGCCAACCAAAGTGCTGTACAATAAAAACAAACAAGCACAGTGGACAGGAAAACATAAAATAAAAATATAGATACCTGCCACCATCTTTACCCTAGTATGACTACTTAGCAGATAACAGATGCAGTTGTTTGAAATTGACTCTATCCTGCTTTATTTCTGTGTTAACATGACATGTTTTTTCCTGCATGTTGTTAGTGCTGATCCAGCTAATGCCCCGTGTGTTTGTTCCCCTCTGTGCACTTGTTCCCCTCCATGCGCAGCAGAATGACACAGACCAGGTCCAGTCAGGACCATCGTTTGTGGTGGTCGTCGCCATTGACTTCGGCACCACATCCAGTGGATATGCCTACGCCTTCACGAAGGAGCCTGAGTGCATTCACACCATGAGGTGGGCCGACACTGCAATGCAGACATTCATTGGGATAAACAGTAAGGGGGGGGGGGGGGGGGGTGCTGAAGCCATATCAGCACAAAATCACACTGCTGACTAATATTTACAGAGAACGATTCTGGAGTGTTGATTTAAAAATACCAAATGAAATGTACACAAAAAGTTTACCACAGTTTATTTTGTATCTGAGGAAAAGTGAATGAAGTATTCATTTGAGTACAAAGTAGAACGTTGTGAGAACAGCCGGCTCATCCACCTGCAACAAGATTTCACTGGACTTCTCTGGTGGTGATGGTGTCCATTTTTCCCAGCATTTACTCCAGGCCCTATTCAAACAGCATGTTGCTATAAAATGAGCTTTTAGTTTTAAAATATACAAAATGTTTTAATATGACTGGAGATTTCAACCACACAAACGTCATAATACTGCTCTGCTCACATACCAAGGGTTTGTCCACTCTCCAGGCAGGGCTTAATTTGTAAACCAATTGGTGCCGGAACACAAATAGCAGGCGGTCGGGTGGGGGGGGTGGGGGGGGGGTCTGTGGGTCCTCCCTGTGAAAATTTGAAATAAAAGAGATGCCTTGTCTTGCATTTTGGTGTATTTTAACAGGTTGTTAAACATCTGTAAACATTTGATTAAATTGATTAAAAACCGGTCTCTCTTGTAAATGAGTCCTCGAGACTCAATGAGACTAACAACCTGTATAGATAAAGGTTGAATTGAAATTACTATTTTAGAGAGCAGTGAATAGAGCAGCTCCGATTCAGTCAAGCGTCCTAAACGCACACCCCCCCCTCCCCCATACACACTTTACTGTCCGACTGAACTCTTCAGTCCTGCGCGTTGTTCTGCTTCAATCTGGATTACCACTGCCTCCTGGTGCTTCAATTCTCAGTTGTCCAGCTAAGGACAATCCATCCATCTATTTATTTTAAATAATAAATTGGACTGTCTTTAACATTTTGATACTGTTATTTTGACAAATTAGTGCTGTTGTTTTGAAACGTGATGTGATGTCAATAATACACATCAAACATTTCTCTCGTATTATTATTATTTTTTTTTTTACTGTAAGCTTTTTTATTTATTATCTCTGAAATGTATGCAGGAGTTCAGTCACATCAGCAGTTGTGTGCGCTCTGTAGAGCTGTCTGGAGACGTTTCTGTGCATGACATGCACTGTCTGCAGGACATTTATTTATTCTGTTGAATAAATGATCGTTTCTTTTTAGGGGGTCTGAAAGGAGGGGAGGGGGGTGTTTTTCATTGCGCAGCGCTGCTGAGTAGGGACAATGTTTGGAGAGGAGGAGAGAAGGACTTCACGCAGCACCTCCGTATGTAAATATGACCATCTGTCCCTCCGTCCTCACCCCCGCCTCCTCCAGAGGCTACTCTCCTGCTCCTTGGGAGGAGTGGGTGAGTGAGCTGGTGCGCCGCACGTGCTGTGGCTGGAACATCCACTCCACAGACTGGGTCCGCTGGGCTAAAGGCTCCAGTATACTTGCGCATCCTGTGAGCCGCGCAGAAACAGTGTGCACTGTCCGCAGAGGGTTGAGACTTCATGATCGAGCGTCCACCCTGAGCGGCTGCATAGCAGCTCCACAGACAAGGGGCGTTTACCTTCGGGACAAATTGAGGTCGCCGATTTGTCACTTGCTGACACGTCTACTGGATTGATTGACAGGTCGAAGAAAAAAAAAGGCGAGAGCTGGCAGCTCCAGCCGCAGCGATGTTCTGTGTTTATATGTTTATTAATAAAAAGTTCGAAATTTTTTTAAAAACGGAGCGCTGGCCCTGCAGCCCACACATCAGACCAGCCCAACAGGAAATCTCCAGACCCTGCCGCAGCCACGCTGGACCTGATTTTCATTAGCTCATGACAAATTCCTTCATTTCTGACCATTTCAGTCATGGCGTCAACAGAGGAGGAAGAGATGACTGCCTCTTGGTAAAAAACCAAAAGAAAAACCAGTTCAGGGATGAAGAAGGGGAATTTAATACATTGGTGTTGCATACATAACAGTCCGTCGCCAGACAATTTATTGTGTGACACCGAGTATGCATATGCGGTCGTAAAAATGTAGCTTTGCACGGGCATGCCCTGCGGGCGTCTGCTTTGACTCTAATCTGATACGCACGGACCTCTGTGGACTGACGTACGCGTGAGTATACTGGAGACTTAAGGGCAACGTCTCTCTTCGTTGTATTTTTAATAAATAATCTTAATAAAAATGCGCAATGACTTTGGACTTTTAGGGGCGAAAATTTGAGTTGCTGGATCCGAGCAAACAGTTGCCGGAACACAGCCTGTCAAAATGAGAAAGCTCCCGGATCTTGTTCTGGCATGATCTGGCTCAAATTAACTCGTCTCCAGACAGATGAGCTAAGGTACTACATCGGATGTATGCAAACATTAAATTGTTTTTAAAGCAGATCATTTAAATCCCAAAGGTCCTGATCAGATTTTTAAGCATTTCCCCGCGTACTAAAGGTACAGTATAGATACCAAATATTAATAATACTAATAATAATAATCATTTTATTTAAAAAGCGCCTTTCAGGACACCCATGGACACTTTCACAAATGAACTTGAAATGTATTTATTTGGAAAACAAAACAATACAACAGGACTTTTTAGAAGAACTGAGCAGTTAGTGGCAAAAATAATTTTCTTATCAACATCACAAAACAGTATAATTTAAAACACACACGATCACAACAAAACTATTTTAAAACATGAGAATTTTAGATGAAGACTCCGCTTGTGATCTGTTTATTTGTACCCTTTGCTGCATGAAGGGTGAGAATTGAAAATAGCCTCCGTGTGTCTGTGCATGTTGTGAGTATGAAAACTTTTGGGGGGGGGGGGGGGATATTAAGGTACCAACATCCATTTCACTGTGTGATTACAGCTAGGCTTAAGAAAAGTCTGTCTTGTGAGCTGGATAACTTGAAAAATACTGATAAACAACTTCCATTTTGGTGTGTTGGTGCATCTAGGTGTAAAAAAAAAGGTGACTATTGAAAGTTTGGTTGCCAAGTCAAAGTCCAAGATGGCCACCACCATAAACTGGCCATCCCAATCATGTGAATAAACTATATATTTATTTATTTTTATATTATATTACTTAATAGCTGTGGTGGGCCTCGATTCTGCTAATCCACTAACATCTAACAGCAGCTGACTTTTTCATTTAGCAGATTAGCATTTTCCTGGGGGAGGTGGCAACGCAGAGGTTAGAGAAGGTGGGCCTGTGATCGGAAGATCACCGGTTCAACTCCCCGAACCATCAACATCAAAATGTGTGTGGGATAGGTGAAGCACCCACTCCTGCCTCCATCCTCATTTGCCCCACGCTGGGCCCTTGAGCAAGGCCCTTAACCCCCACCATCTGCTCCCCTGGGCATCCTAGATAGCAGCTCCCTGCTCTACACTCTCCTTGCTCTGTCTGTTTTGAGCGTGTCTTGAAGAGTCCGTTAGGCATGCTGTTGACTGACTGTGTACACATGACAAGACGTGATTGGTCGATGCAGCAGCAGCTAGCTGAACAGCATCTTGTAACCCAGTAGAATCAAACTAACATCAACAGGTTTGTGTCAGTTCCACTAGAGTTATTGTATTATGGATTAGCACAGCTAACTTTTTTGTTAGCAGTGACCCCCACTGCTTAAAAGTATAGTTGCCTCAAATGATTGTGGTGGCTGGTGGGGTGGACAAAGGTTAATCTATGGTGGCCAAGACCATCATTGACCACCCCCTTTCTCCATCATTGTTCCTGATGGTGGATAAACTCACTCCCTACTCACCAGGATCCGTCACTCTACACCGTCTTGAGAAAGCAAAAAAACAAACAAACAAAAAAACACTTTTCTTATACACAGTGTAACTCCTACTACTTGAATAACTTGCACCAAAACATAAATGTTTACCTACATTCTCTGCTGAATTTCAGTCCAGAAACACTCATCTAAAATACTACAACTACACAGGGCCGAGATGGTGCATAGTAGAGTTGCATTCGGGCCCAAAAAATCCGACCCGGCCCCAACCCGTGGCCATCATTTCCAAACCCGACCCTATGAATTAACAATAATTACAGGTCCGAACCCCAAAATAACCCAACATTTTTAATTAAGCTTTGACTGTTATTAGTCGGCAGACGTGCGGCTGAATAACAGGGGCATAAGTTCGGAGCTGAGGGGGTGTTTGTCCTTTCATGGTCGTCAAACAACATTTAAACCCTGTTTCTGCTGCATTCTGCATTATTCAGACATGGACCCTGCTCTACATGTCTGCTTAAGGATGTCACCTGTTTGGGTCATCGGCCACGTGCGTCTGCTGAGTGCAGCGGCTAAATGAACAACCATTTGGGCTTTGATGGATCGCTGCCTCGCAGTACAGTCCATCTGAAGCTTAACTGAACTTTTTACCTCTTTCAAGGCCAGCAGCTCGCGGTGAAATGGCCGCGTACGGCTGGTGAAGGTCTGGCAAACCTTTTTGCCATATCATTGGATTGCCAGTTGCACACACCCACTGACGTAATCAAAAGCCCAACATCGACCCGGCCCGCCCATCCAGCACATCATTACAGCCAAGCCCAAATTCGGGCCAGAATTCGAGCCAGGCTTCGAGCCAGGCTTCGGGCCTGGGTTAGAAATGACAGCTCTAGTGCAGAGATAGGACAGCCGACTTGGGACCAGAAAGTCGCGGTTAGACTCCCAGCCATTCCCACATATCATGGTGTCTCTGAGCAAGACACCTAATCCCCAATTGCTCCCCAGGCACCTACATAGCTGTCCACTGCTCCACCTGGGTGCATCTCACGTGTGATGGGTTAAATGCAGAGCACAAGTTTCATCATTGTATAGAAATATACAACCATGACAACATATAGCACTTATTCTTATACAAACATTCACTATTCAGATTCCTCAACAACAGGGCTGTATTGCTTGTTTTTAAAGCATTAAGCTCTTCTTTTAACTTGCCACAGTTAGTTAAATTAGGTGCTCCTTATGAAGGATCTCCACAGTCCCATCTTCTCCCACAGAGGACAGATAACGCTCATAATAACTGACCTCAAGTCATCCCAAAAGACTCCAATTGGGCCGAGTTCATGTAACTTCATAGAAAGTTACATAACTGATGTGAACCACATCCACAGACGAATGAACAAGGACTTCACCTTAGAAGGAATTGTTGAGCTTTTATTTAAATTGTGTTGGTGGTTCCAAACATTGACAGCTGATGAATTTAAAAACAGAAACACAGATTTTCTGGGCATTAACTAATAACTGGCTTGTCTCTTTTTAGGCGTTGGGAAGGAGGAGACCCTGGTGTGTCCAATCAAAAGACTCCAACCACCATCCTCCTGACTCCTGACAGGAAGTTCCACAGCTTCGGCTACGCTGCTCGGGATTTCTACCATGACTTGGACCCCAGCGAGTCCAAACACTGGCTCTATCTGGAAAAATTCAAGATGAAGCTTCACACCACTGCAGTGAGAACGCAAACATATTAAATACCTGTACTGAATGATTAAGAAGAGCTTGTCAGCTCTGTGGGTAATTCGTTTGCCAGCAGCAGCAGTTTGTCTGCGCAGTGACTCTCCTCGGCTGCTGGGATGAGTCGTGTTGCTGCAGGGTGAGGCTGAGCTGACACTGCAGCAGAGTGCAGACTTTTTGCTTTTATTAGTGGTAGACTTCCTGACAAAGACAATCAGACATACACTGCATGCAAATCAATTAGGCTTGTGGCTGCAGCAAATGTTTTTGCTTGTGTCTGTGTGGATGAACCACTGAAAGGATTAAAAACTCCCATCTCCTAATCTTAAAAAATGACTATAACTCAGTGAACTATACAGGTATTGAGGTGGTCAGAGCTGAGAATGAGCTGCAACACAGACTGAGCACTAACTGATAGACCTTTGTTTAAAACTTTAACAAATAGTCAGCTCTATCTGTCAGGAAAATTTATCTTAAACCACTGGACAGAATGAATGAATTAATTTTTGAATGACACTCAGAGAACTTAATCCTTGAACGCACATCTAAAACGAATTAACATTTCTATCCAACCCCGTTCATCCTGCCCACCATGGTCAAGTGGCCTTAGAAAACATAAATAGAGCTATAATTCCATTAGTTTTGCAGACACTGAGCTAATTTTTGGTGGGTTAGTAGCCAAAAGTCATCCCTAATTCAAACTCTGAGCACTGCACATTGTGGGAGATATTTGCTTAAAACTTTTTCATTACCTGTTGAAGTTAACCTTGTTTGTCTGTTAGCAAATAATCTTATGAACAATTGTCAGTTAAAGTTTCAGAAAGTTATCACTGGACGTGCATCTAGAACATCACCGAGATACAACGAGAACACGTACGTACAGTCGTCCAAAAGATAGGCCAAGTGCACAAAGCTGCTGCTATAAGCGCGGCCTTCTTATTCTTCCTCAGAATAATATTTTTGCTTAGATGAGAAAAGGGAAGAAAACATGAGGAGAGACGGTATAAAAAAAAGATCTCTCACACCTTGTCTTAGACATGGCACAATTTGAGGCATCAAAACAAACCTACCACAGCAAGGCACCATAAATAGATGTTATACATGTTCATATAGGCCAGTGAAGCCATTGAATTTTCAGGGAAGATTGTAGCATAGTCCAGAGCCCCCCTCTCAGCCATTGTCCAAATAAGAGGTGTCATTCATCATCAGCTCGGTTGAGGTTCTGTCACGTGTCCACGGCCTTGGGGAAGGGAGGGGTGGGGTGAGGAGACAGACAAAGCATCTTTGTTTTGTCTAAACATGCCAGGAGGAGTTGAGATAAATCCACCATTGAGGCCACAGTTTGGGTCAGGCAGAACTCGTGAATTGCCATTTCTGCCTTTTAAAGTCTCGCTGGTACAGTTCTCTTATGGAAACTCCAAAACAGCTGAATTGATTCCTTACGCCGAAAATCGAGCTCACAGCTTTCTCCAAGATTATTCCCACTGTTCATGGGTGCTGCTAGAAAGTTCACAGTCCTGATAACAGCCTGCTCCAACTCTGACACAACTCCACATAATTCAGTCTGAGTGCTGCCAAGCTTCAACACATTCACATCAATTTGTAGACAATCAAGATTTCACCAACCCAAACAGCAAAATTTAGTTGTCGTCATGAATCCAATTTGTTTCCATAGGTAAGAGGGTCCTTCTTACCCTGACTCCTGTTGGTAGAAGTTGATCAATTTTGTTGAGAGACCAGCTGATCAAATCCTTCGAATTAGGAAGGTATGCAGGGAAAAAAAGGCTCTTTGAGGGTTCACAAGACGAGATCAAGCAGGGACGCTGGGGGACGGAACACAGGGACACATGTCTGACTTCACCGGAGCACAGAGAGAATTTTTTTTTATTATTATTATTTAATCTGAAAACATTTTAGTACAATCAAACAATTTTGCGCATGTAAACATAGCTACTGGTTAATTTTGTTCACTATTTTTTGTTCTTGTGATCAAAGCTGTAGAATCCTCCTGTGTCTGGTCCACCTGCAGGATTTTTTAAATTATGTTAAAGCTGAAAGTAATAGAAAGTTACTGAACCTTGTTGTTCTCAGTCCCCCCCTCCCCCAACCCTTCTACAGCTAGGGGTAAATGCTGCCTTTTACCTTGACTTTACCTAAAATCAGAGTTAACATGAATATTTTACTCTCAACCCCCAAAAAGCCATCTGAACCTCAGAATAAGTAGTTAATGCTGCACTACAGTAGACCAGAACGTTTGATCATTTCAGTACAAGAGGAATTATTCTTTATTCCAACATACAGTTCTTACCTTCCCCGTCTCTTTGCCGTCAGAATCTGTCCATCGACACTGACATCCACGCAGCTAATGGAAGACGAGTGAAAGCTCTGGACATCTTTGCATACGCACTGGCTTTCTTCAAGGAGCAAGCATTAAAGGTGACACGTCTCTCTGTTCAACACTTTCTGCTATCAACATCATTACATTGTCTTACTGCACAAGTAGTTTGTAGATTAAAGGTATTAGAACAAAAGCCTCATTGTATAAAAATATTTCTCAGCCTAAAACAGTATAACCAAGTTAGTGAAGAGGAGCTGGAGTACTTTTTTGTTGCTATATGACTTGTGAAACAAATATACAACTGATTACTAATAAATTAAACAAGGAATGGTGCGATAACTTCTGAGTATTTGTCGTCTAACTCGTGTGTCTTACTGTTAATTCTGCAGGAGCTGAGTGATCAGACAGGTGGTGAATTTGACAACACCACTGTGAGATGGGTGATCACAGTCCCTGCCATCTGGAAGATGCCGGCAAAGCAGTTCATGAGGGAAGCGGCATATAAGGTGGGCAAAAAATCTTTATTTCAAAATAATATGTTTCCAGGCTGCAGCTGACAAGGTGCGTCTGCTCTTAAACAATTTGGTAAAGGCAGCTTTTGGATCTTAAACTGAAACAGGACATGCTCTTAAATGTTGGTCTAGTGGTGCATATAAATAAATATAAATATATTTTAATCAGAGAACAATCACTGTTTTGGCACAGAGGGGGTGGATCTAAACTCAGTTACTCACGGATTAAAGTTTTCAATCGCCACAATGGATTTCTGTCATCTGTGCTTGGGTAACTTCTAGGTGTAGAAAGATTTCAGTCAAAAGGTTTTTCCTGCTATAATCCCTGTTAACTTCAGTCTACCTCAGGATCAACACTCGTTGACAGTTTCAAACTGTTGAAAACATTTTTATTACTGACTTGCACAATTTCCATGGATCTTTCCACGGTAGAGTCAAGTTTGACTTGATACTTAAAGAGCACTTTGGTAACAATCTTGTAGAGGATGAATCTGAAGACATGACTGTCTTTCAGCGTGACGACTGACCATTCATAGCAGAGTCTACGTTTTCAAACCAAACACAGGAAAACCCACTGAGGGTTAAAAAGACTGGTAGTTCCACTGGTAGTTAACCTCGTTAAATACTGAACTGTTTTTATAAACTATTAGTAAATTACTGGTTATAAGAGAACAAAAACAGAAAAATACCTGAGGAGGGGCCAAATACATTATGTACTTCTTGGTCATGTAGTGTTTATTTCTATAGTCTGTGTACTTGGTAGTAGATGTTTTTACATTGATGTGTTCAGACTTTGTGGTAACTGGGTGTGTCTGTCTGCAGTACTAACAGAGGCAACACACTGGGGAGGGGCAGAGGAGAAACCCAGGAGAGCTGCACCGTGTGGTGTGGACCAGGGTTGTGTGTGTGTAAGGAAACATCCCCCTTCCTACGTGTAAATTATTAATCAGAGTAGACAGATTTTAGGTGTAATACTTCCTATATGAGCAGAGTTTGGTATCAGTCTCATTCAAATCTATAAATATATTTGAAATTTACTGTCTTTAGTATGTTGTGTGGTCTGGACAAACCTACTCTCTCCCTGTGATGATGTCATAGATGAAGATGAAACAAAATGCCTGCATGAAGGGGGAGCTATTTTAGCTGATACAAGCAGTGAGGGCTGGAGGAAAGATGGAGGGAAGAACTGATACAGAGAGGAAGTGATCATGTTCAAAAACGGAGGGGAGGGGAGCTACAGTGACTCAGCATCAGGCTCTGAGATTCATCTGATTGGCTGTCCACAGAGGACAGAGGGAAGGAGAAAGGAGAGTGAAATGGAGGAAGGGAGGAAAGAAAAACAAGGGGACAGCATCTGACTAAATCATGCCACAGTTCTGCAGGTGTCACCATGCAATCCTCATCCTTCTCTCTTCCATTTTACCCTCCTTCACTCTTGTTTTGCTCAGCTCTTTTGAACTCTTTCAAAGCATAAAATTCACTACTGTACTAATAAAACTCAGTTTTGTTGGGAAAGATAAATTGAAGCAATTAGAACATGGACAAAAGGAATCAGAGAAACATATCTTGATGGATGCTCAATAATCCAGGTAGAAAAATCTAAAAAAGTTAAGTCTGGTCCTCTGAATGGGTTCAAAAAACAAAAAAAATTTTGAAATGTTTCGACCTTCATCCGAAAGACTTCAGTCTGAGGAGCTTCATTCAACTCACGCCCTATTTACACGGACACGGTGGGGGGAAACATGTTTTATTTTTCATCTGTTAATTAGAGGAAAAGATCCACGTTGACAAAAACAGATTTTGTATTTACATGCATCCAGAGGAATCTGTCACAATCCTCACCGTTGGAACCCATTTGCAGGGAGGCGAGCGAGGCAGGAGTTTAAATAAAAATAATTTATTTAAATAACAAAACAAAAGGCTGTCGGTGCAGCAAAACTTACTTTGGCAAAACAGGATCAGAAACAAGGCTGAACAGGACATCAGAGTACACAGGCAGAGCAGATCATCAGGTGGACAAAAACAGACAAGACAGAGGAGGACTGAGATGTCTGTGAATACAGAGCAATGACCGGACAAGGAGTGGAGGAGAGAAAGGCTTTTTATAAGACAGAGGGAGAGTGAGTAATGAGAGCACCTGGGCAGGTGGCTGATGAGGGACAGGTGTGAATGATAAAGACTGAGGAGTGGAGAGGCAGACTGAGGAGTGAGTGGAAAACAGGACCAGATACACAGGAACAGAAACCACACAAAGAGCAGAACAACAAGAGCACAAAAAGCAGAGTGGGGAACACAAACACAAACAGAAACAGGAAATGGTACAATCCTTACAGAATCAACCCCCACCCCCCCAATCTACTGTAGTTACCATGCCAGGTCATTAGTTGGCGCTGTGAATTTTGTACATTCACCAGTTGCGCATGCATTCTGCCTCGGCACGCTTCCTTTAAGGATGTTCCTCTGGGCTAAAAGCTCAGCTAACAACATCCTAACAACAAGTTAAAGCTGGATTTTTGATAAAAGTTGACAGATTTGACGCCAAGCGGGACCGCTTCATCTTTTATTTAATTTTTGTTAGCTCATTTTGCATCGCTGTAACTTTGTGATAGTTTGTGTGATAGGAGGCGCAGTGTCCCACCCCTCCTCATGTGGGACGCAGGACAGTGGGGCAAAATCCAGGACTGCCCTGCCCTAATCGGGACAGTTGAAAAACACACGTTTCTTCCCCTTTTTATTTTTACCGATGACAGAAATCCATCACGGGGAGGGAGAACTTTAATCCATGACTATTTCACTTGGTTGTCCACTGGACACCCTCGAGATGAGATCTGGCTGTCCAAGACTGAAATAGTTTGTCTTGGACAAACGGAAATCGCTTATGTCGACTGACTGGAGTCAATTTAGAAAGAAATCAGTATTTTCCTGCGGCGTGAACGTAGCCTAAACCATTGATACAATCAGAACAAAGGCTAAGCAAGCAAATAAAACAACAAAGTCCATGCTCAATAATCCAGGTATACAATCCAACATTTTTCAGTCGGGTCATCTGGACAGTTTCTTTTTTGTGCTGAAATGTTTCGCCTTCGATCCAGAAGGCTTCATCAGTCAAGGAAACACACAACAAAACTGATTCTTCCCCCAGCAGCTTACTCCAAAGTGGAACAAACCAGTTATGTTGGTGCTAAGATGGTCTTTTTGGTACACCCCCTCCTCCGTTGCCTGCCCTCTTCCTTTTTTGACAGTCATGTCAAACTGGTTGAAAACAACAAAGAAGCAAAGAAAAGTTAAAAGCTAAAATTAGCTGAACTCAAGCTAAAAGCTTCAACTAGCAATACAGTAGTTAAGCTAAACTTTGCAAAACAACTAATAAAACAAGCAGATCAGTAGCTAAAAGTAGCTAAACAAAAGCTAAAATCTAAAATAAAAAGTGCCTAAAATCTAAAAATAGGAGAACAATAGCTGCATTCTAAAAATAACAAAACAGTAGCTAAAAGCTAAAATGAGACAAAAAGTTGTTAAAACTTTAAACCAGCAGAATAGCTAAAAAGTTTAATAAGCAAAACAGTAACTACAAGCTAAATACAGCAAAACAGTAGCTAAAAGTTAAAACCAACAAAACAATGACTAATAGATAAAATTAGAAGAATAATAGTTATAGATGCAATTATTAAAGAAGTAACTTAAATGCTGAAATTTACAAAACTAGACCTAAAAACAAAATGTGAAGCAATTACGCCCAAGTAGACGTTTAAAAAGCACAAAGTTGTACAAGGATTTGAAGAGTTGGTTTTTCATTTCAAGAGAAACTAATGTGTATAAAGTGAAATATTTCAAAAAGTGTCAAAGTTACAAAAACTAAAAGTCATAGTCTGAATGTCCAGAACAAGTTGGACATTTTGATTTAAAATAATTTAAATAGCTGAAAGTATGCTGAAATACAAAGTAATTAACAGTTTAAAAACTACAGAAAAATACTATAAATATGAAAACAATAGCTTGACTGCTGACTCAGCATTCAGAGTAACAGTAATGCTTAGATATGATAAAGATTTTATTTACAGAAGTGTAGTTTATAGCAAATATTTTTTTGTCTTTAAAAGACTGTGATTTCAAACCTATCCAAATTCACTTTCTATCCTTCATTATTTCTGCTCCTGATTGACTTGTTGTATCACTGTCTGAGACTTCTTCCCTCTTTTTTTGTCACAGAACATAAAATGCACCCAGTCATTGCATCAGCTCCTTATCAGCTCTCATCAGCTTTCATGGGTCCAGGTTTAGGTTTTAAAGCTTTACCACTGTGGTGCTTTGATGACTCTCATACATTGTGCTTAGTGGCTCGATGATGGTGTGATGGTGCCATTTTTCTGTCTCAACTGTGCAAACCAGTCGACCAGCAGAAAGCTAAAAGGGAAAATAAGCAAAAAACAAACAAACTGTGTGTATTTGTATGGGAAGCTATTTGAATAAAGTCCTGCCAAGTAGAACAGAGAATGACAGAGAAGCTCAATGTATCATGGGAGCTTTATTTTTTATTATAAAGAGAAGCTTTAAATTGATTTTGATACATAACTAATATACTTGATTTTGATGGTTTATCATCAGCTTAGTTTTGAAGAAATAGTTTAATTCTGACACGAATGATGAAATGACAGTAAAATACTGATGCATTAGAACAACTCTAATCTGAAAAATTTCATTGCGGCTCATGCAAATATCATTTCATAAATTTTACACTGCCAACTAGAAAAACAGGAGAGTTTATGAGCGCCCTCTGTCAGGACCTCCCAGCATCCCACCGTCTGAGAACCAGTGTGATAATCAACACATTCATATCGGTTGCTGTGTCAAAGGAGGAAGTAGCAGAATGTATTAGTACTAGTAAGTTTTAAAGTGTTTAAATCAATTTGACTAATACATTTTAGTTTGTTTATTTAGTAGACTGTGACCTCATCTAATGGTCGTCAGAACATGAAGAACAGTTTGCACTTTTCTACTGCGTTATTTTTTTATTCCTTCATTACTGTCACATATAATACTACATTTTACAAGTAAAAAAAAATTTACGGTTGGAAAGGCAGATTGTGTTGTTTGACTCATATTTTTCTCGCCTGCCCCCCCGTAGTCTGGTCTGGTGTCTCGTGAAACCCCAGAGCAGTTGATCATCGCTTTAGAGCCTGAAGCAGCGTCGATCTATTGCCGCAAGCTCCGCCTCCATCAGATGGTTGACCTGTGTACGCAGACCACCCAGAACGGGTTTAGTCCCAATGAAAATGTGGGGAGTGGTATGAGCCAAGGTACGTCCCATCAACACTCACATTACTGCTTTCAGTTGCTCTATAGAAACACCCTGAAGGTCCTTTATAGCGTACATCACTTCAGATTACTGCATTATTGAGTAATATTTCCTTTTACTGTATCCAGTCTGAGTCACTTCAGCATTATTTATACTGACATAATAACATGTTTTCTTCCTGTTGAATTGTGTTTTCTGCTATAGTGTCTCCCGGCAATGGTAAATAACATTTCACAATAAGACACACACTGCATGAAGGTCCAAAGGCACACTGACTTTTTCTTTAATTTAAACCATCACATTCAACTTGCTTTTGCTTCTTTGCTTACAGTTCTGAAATAAATGTATTAAAAAAATAATATTACAATGATAAATCCAATACTGAATATTACCAGACATAAGCATTATAATACTGTATTAATATGTTCAGTGTGTATGAGATTAACTAGTTAGTACCTAAATGTGTTGTATAGGGATAGATGGCTCATGTTTACATCTTCCCACTGCATATAAAGTAAAAGAAAGTTCACCACCGTTCAGCTCAAGAGTTTTACTCATCAGGTCTACTAAAAAGGATCCACCAGGCTCTGACAAGAGTTCAGTCTAACCTCAAGTGTGCAAAAACACAACAGATTCCATGATTTCATTATTTATTAAACAAAAAGAGCTAAAATGCAAAAACTGTGTACCAAATTTTTTGGCCTATAAATCACGTTTTTTGCATAATTTGCATGCCCTGCGACTTATACACTGAAGCAACGTATTTATGTTTTTTCCCCATATTTATAAACCAATTTTTGGCTGAGATATGACCGTTTTCATTCATTCTGACTGAAAATATTGAACACTAACATTTCCAGCCGCTAGATGGCACTCGAGTAGTATGGGATGCCGTTGTGTCATGTAATAGGTAAAAGTGCCTATTAATGACACAATTGGCTTGCCATAGTCTGCCACCTTTGTCCAGCTCGCTTGGAGCAACCGTCAAACCAGTTTCATTTCACTGCGCCACCCCGGTGAAATGCAGCTAATTTGACCATTGAAGTGCATTTATGAAGTAAAACTTCAACTGAGACACACCTTTACTATAATGTCGAGCAAACAAATAATTGTTTTTAGGTGGTTATCTTGTTAAATTTTGAAGAAATGCACTGCAGATCTTCTCGTGCACACATTTACTTCCGCGTATCAGCTTTTGAAATACACCTGATTTGACCATTAAAGTGCATTTATTAAAGAAAAATTAGACTGAGTCACACCTTTACTATAATTTTGAGTAAACAAATAATTGTTTTAAAGTGTTAATCTTGTTAAATTCTTGTTAAAGTCCTCCCGTGCACATGGCAGCCAATCAATTTTTGGCACAACACCGGCCCACATTTTCGGGTTAGATCCACATTTCTGGGTTGTCAGCGGTGAAGCGTAACAAACACGACCTGTCAACGGTGACACATAATAGATGTGACGTATATGGCGAAGCGACGTATTCATGGCTTTTCCACTTTATTAGACATATTTGGACTGATGTTATTTATAGGGCGGTGCGACAGGTATGGCAGAAAATACGGTAACTTAAGTCCATCCCATGTTTCAACAGTTGCGACTGGACTTTACCTGGGCTGTTGCAGCATCTTGAGTTTGTTCATTTTTTCAGCCATGCTGCTGTTTGAAAACAGATCAAAGGAATTCATAATGGACTCAATAGCTATGTTTACATGGACATAAGTTATCGGATGAAACGGCCATTCAGAATAAAAATGCATCATGTAAACGCCCCATTCAGATTAGAGGATGACACAGGAGTGGATTTTCACTCCTGTCCTGTCCTGGTCCCACAGAAAAAAATCCTGTCCTGTCCCACTCCTGGTAACATGACTCCTGCTCCTGTCCTGCTCCTGTTCAGAATCACTCCCACTCCTGTACTGCTCCTGTTTTTTATTTAATTTTTAGGAAATACATTGAATTTGATTTGATCTTCTACCCATTCCTGTTTAAATTACTTTGTGTTGTGCAGTTTTATTTCAAAAGATATGACAACAGTAACAGTTCATCTGTGGTGAAATAGAGACATTTATTGTCTTAATCCAAACAAAAACCTTCACTAGATGTCACAAAACAAATAATACATGGCCTGTAGTCCATATAATTTTTCTGTGGAGAATCAGCTGCTGAGTCCCTGTTTCTGGCTCTTTTGAAGGTCAGCTACAGTAAAAACAAAAAGGTTAGATTTAAATCATTTTATAATCTAGTAAAACCAGACCATTTTTATTATGTCTCAGATGTAAAACCCTAGAACTGTCCTGTTTACCCCCTGACTGTAAAAGATTTAAATATATTTTTAACACTAAACTCTTTTAACATGTGAAGCAGCAACAGCAAACTTAAAACTTACGTCATCCTTGTTTTTTTCTTTTTCTCCAATTCATCCTTCAGTTTATTTTGGTGCAAAGTTTTTGTGCAACATCATCAAAAAGAGGGATTATAATGTCTTTAAATTTGATAAATATAACATTCATGGCAGATTTGCAATCTAAAAGTTTATTTTGCATCTAGTCACAAATCATAAACCGTGTCTGTAAAAGTCTGCAATTTGGCAAAAGATGACTAAATTGTGTTGATTGACAACAACAAACAATGAGCTCATTTTATTATTCACCAAAGCCACAGTGTTAGCAATCACAATGATAACTTACATAAAAACTTTGTAGTTTGCAATGGATTATGTCGGGCAGTTTTGTCAGTATCTCTGGAGTTCATTTTTAAACTCTTTCTTCCACAAGTTTAATCCTTTGAAAATGAAACACATAAACATCTCTGACTGAGACCTTTCTGCACCATCGTCCTGAATCTTACACAAAAACTCACTCTGCAGCATTCAAATCTGCCACTTAGGCTTCCGTACAACTTGAACTTTTTGTTTGCATGCATGTAGTTAAAGCAAATCTAGTAATTCTCCCGTTTTCACTTTTTTTTTAAATCACATCTTTTTTGCGTCTTACCCTTACATTTGTTTAATGAAAAATGTAGGGATTTCCTCATAAAGAAAGAAAGAAAGAAAATCTAATGTCTTGTGTTCTATTCTGTTCTCAAATAAATGACTGTGCCAAATAAATTCAAGGTATGTTTTTATGACAGAAGCTTTTTAAGGACTCAAGGTTTAAAGCATATTTCATGACCATTATTCACAAGTAAAGATTATTTTCTAAAATTGTATTAAAATATAACATCGTTTAGATACTGTGTTGTAAAATAACGTATAGCACAGATATCGTAGATATAGAGATACAATAAATACTGTACACATATTTCTATAGTACGTTATGTATCCTATCTGTCAGATTGGACCTTGACCAGTAGTAAGTCAGAGCAGTGCAACTTTTCTGGAGGATGGACCCACACAACATACAAAACAGGCAAAACATGAAGGTCATGGTGAGTTCTTCAGTTGCATAGTTTAAATGCAGTGGCCTCCACATTACGTGTGATAGGTTGCAAAGGGGGGTAAACATGATCAACATGATCTGAAGTGAGAGTGTGGCTTGTTACTATTGTGGTGACAGCATGCTGGGGTCATGGGGGAGTGTGGTGGCAGCTCATAGCTATAGTCAGCATATACATGTAGACGTGTCCGTGTGTCATTGGAGTGGCTTTGTCAACAAAGACTTTTACACACTGGTCATGCTAGCCTCTTGTCCATGCTACAACAGTCATGTCCACACTGCACATGCAACACTCTCACCATGAAGCTTTAACAATTAATCGTAGCTCTTCGTGTGCCAGTATATGCTGTGCCATGGTCCGCTTCATTAGACACACATGAAGAAGCTCTTATCCTGTTCATGATCGGGCTTACTGGACAAGGAAGGAAGAAGGGTGGATGCAGTTAAGTTTCTGCACAGAACGGTATTTCTTCAACAGAGAGACTGAAACCATCAGCAGGGTTAGACCTGGGCACTTGAGCTTCAGCTCCAAATGTTTTCTGAATAACCCCATAAGTGCGTCCACATGTTAGTACCGTTGTAGCAGCTGTAGCTGATGGATAGAACTGAGTGATGGTGCTGGAAAATGTCTCTTGGTTGCAGAACATAGCAGGACACCATATTTGTTGAGTACTGAGAATGTAGCAGTCTCATGATTCCCTTCATACTGAAGAGGGTTTTCCATATTTGCTGTGATCCAGCTCAGTTTTAATGGTTCAAGGGGGCACGGGGGTGGTATCACCAAATGTGTAGTGGGCCTTTTGTTTGTATAAGGCTGATCATAATCTATAGGTTATGATCTAAATGACATCTGAGGTTTTTTTTTCCTTTTATAAACATTTTTAAATTGTACATTTTTGTATTTTAAAGCAATGTTTGACCACGAACTAAATTTAGATGACACATGAAAGCATCCTGACCTCAGGACTGTAGAAACAGGCTCTGCTGTTTGTCTTTGGTGTGGATTTTATTTTCTCCTTTTTAACCAGTGCATATTTGGTGATGCCACTTTGTACTGTTTTAGATTATCTTAATAATGATTGGCTTATAGTTCTTATAAACAGCCCGCACAATCTTTTAAATAGAAAACCATTATTTAACTGTTGGAATATAAGTAGTGCTGGTGTACTGATGTTGCTGGACTGTTGCAGTGATATAATGTGAGCCGTAGAGCTCTCTCATGGCCCTGGTGCAGACAATGACAGTTGAATAGCTGACCTTTGGTTTTTTTTTAGGTTTTTTTAGTGTAGCAGGAAATGTCCCTCTGACATCTACTTTCTCTAGGTCTCCCTGTTTAGACTGTAAACCTTGGTTCACACAGCTGTAACATCCCTTTTCTTCAACCTGAAGTGTGTAGTTCTACAATTATTTTTAACAACCTGTTGTCATCATTAGAACTGAAATATGTCACCACAACTACATGATCACAACACGTGACAGTGTTTTATTTTGTGGTGGTGTTTTTCCACATATTTTTGTTTCCATAATTATAATTTTATTTATATTAAGAAGTTATAGCTTAACTTATTTTCTCTGTACATAATCCCCTTTGCTAGTAGGTGTTTTTAAAGTGCACTGCACTTTTCTCAGTTAATGACTCTGTGCCTCTGACAGTCACATCTTTCTTACCACTCAGTTTTGAGACTTTGGAAATTATTATCAGGAAGTCCTTTTTTTTAGCTGATAATTTTAAGTACTTCCTACTGACCACCAGCAGCTGAAGAGGAAGAAAGCTGGGGGCACTTTCCCTTTGGCTTAGTGATAGAGAGGCCATCTTCCAGTTAGAAGATGGGGTGTTTAATCTTTAGTATTTTAAGGCTGCCAGTGTACTCTCAGTTTGCTGTACGAGAGTGTAGAGGTGAACGAGAAACCTTGTAATGAGTTTTTAAAGGCTCAATATTAGTGTGGACCACTTATTTAGCATTTAGGATGAGTGGCATGGTGGCAGAGTGGAGCTGGTTAATCCAGGGGCTGGTTCTGTTTAAGGGTGGGCTGGACTGGGAAACAAAAAGGTCAAGTAATTTGACAGCTAAAAACAGTAACCCACTGAAAAGCTAAGCGGCGTAGCAGTTCAAAGGCCAGGGGCTGGAAGCTGTGTGAGAACAAGTAGATTGATGAAGTATTGTTGGAGCTCTGACTAAAAATTGAGCGTGGCCTTTAAATCAAAATCCAAATATCAACACTTTTTCCTTTTCAGTTTACATGTACAAGTTTATCCATGAATTTAAAAAGATTCTGGTCATTTCTAATCCACCATACCTTATAGAAGTAGAACGTGACCTTTTGGTTACTTTGCTGAGCTCAGCTGTTAATGAAGAAGTCCAGGGACATGAATAGGAGTTAAACAGCAGTGCATGCATGTCTGCTTGCTGCTTGCCTTACGCCCCACTGTACTATTTGTAAACTGCACAGCTTCACAGAGCAGAGCTTCACGCCTTCATCACACTCATCACGACATTCTCTCTCTGTTAACAACCAGCTAAGGAGCATGTGCGGCGCAACCGACAGAGTCGCACCTTTTTGGTGGAAAATGTCATAGGAGAGCTTTGGTCGGAGCTGGAAGAAGGTAGAGTTCACCTCTTGTACTCATCAGTTTTATTATTTCTTCTTCTGTAGAAGAAACATTCTCTCTGTCTTCTGTACTGTCACATTTAACACTAGATGTAGACACATTAAAACAGGAGCATGTTTTTGAAATGAACTAATAATCTAGAGGTCCGTGGAAAATATAATATTTGCAGGAAGTTCTCAGCAGATTTCACTTTTAAACATTTTGTCTTTGCTTTGTTGGTCATGTAGTTTGACTTAACTTTACTGTAACTTGACATAAAGAGGTTATTTGCAGCTGCTGTCAGAAGTTTACATCAATAACATAAAACTGTGTTAAGCTTCATAAGTTTGAATATATTGTAAATTTATCTATCTTACACTTAGCAGCATGTAAATATTTCACATACCAACTCAAATGTTTTCATACACTCATATTCAATTAAATGTTCTTTAGCAAGTTGTACCTTGACCTTCAACAAGCTTCTTATTCTGTTTAATATTTCACCACTCTTCTTGGCAACATGGTAGAATTTGTTCAAATCACTTGGTGTCCTGGCTTTTAATCAAATTCCTTATATTTCCAACAGGGTTGTGTTTGAAGCTGTAGGAAGGCCAGCCCAGAAGGTTAATGTTAGCCCACTATATCTTCTCAGTATATGGGTTTCATGCATGTCCAGGATCTTTGTACGGAAGAAACAATCTATCACTATAAATTATTATTTTCAATTTACGTTATTTCTATAAACACACTGTTTTCAATCTAACAAAGTTAAGTCAGGTCCTCTGGACAGATTCTTCTTGTTTAAACGTTTCGTCTTTTATCCAAAAGACTTTGTCAGTTTGCCCCTTCTCATAGTGGATCAACCATTTTGTTGTTGACATCCACAGCTAGCTGTTCATATGATCAAGTACATTTGTATAATTCAATTCAATTCAAAATTCAATTCAAAAATACTTTACTAATCCCAAAGGGAAATTATTTGTTGTTGTAACTTGTTATCCTCATTTCATTAAGAGATGTTATAGATACTGATGGCTGTAAACAGGAAGGATCTCTTGTAAAGATCCATCCCACAGTGGATCCTAAGAAACTGGCTGCAGATGCCGTCCAATCCGTCTACCCAGACTCGGCTGGCCTCTCGGTTCCCTCGGGGCTGCAGGACCGCCTGAATGCTGGGCAGAACTCCTCCCAGAGCGATGGCCACTCCTCCCAGCAGTCTGCCGAGCTCCTTATCACTGCAGACAGCCAACTGTAGGTGCCGAGGGACGATCCTGTCCTTCCCCTGTCATGACCCATGTTTGATGAGAATGCGTCCAAAGAACATCTTTTCAACTCATTTGGGATTTGAGGCTGTAGTTGAGATATTAGTTGAGCTTTTGAGATGTGAATCAGCTGCTGTTGGTTGTAGAAAACTGCCTTGTTGCCATGGTTACACATCACAACAAATGTCCAAAACTAAAAAAGTTTCAGTAAAAATCCTTCCAGCTGCACAGCATCCGATACCAGAGGAAACAGACATCCAAAAAATGTGATTTACATCCAGAAAAAGAGGAATTAAAGTCTCCAAAAGCAAAATCTCAGAATGAAAGTAACAGAGCTGCTCCAACATGCAGCCACCTGGAGCGGTGCAATTCTAGAACTAAGAATTCTAGAATTAAGGTCGCACATCTCTAACTAAAAACTAGCATTCCTTGAAGGTTTGCATATTGCCCGCCATCTTACTGTCAAGGCTTTACAAAAGCTCTCTAACGATCGATGAGGACTCAGAGCGCATGTTGGGGATGACTCTCAGCTGCTGTCGTTTTTGCCTTCGGCTGCTTCCCTCTGCAGGGTTCACCACAGCCAGCAGACGCCCTGTACCCGGGCTCAAACCTGCAGCCTCCGAACTACGAGACTGCAGCATTAACCGCCGAGCTACTGCATCCCCAATGACTCTCAGCTACTACCACACCAAATCTGAGCTCAATATTTGTCAAACTGACTTGAGTTATAAACATCTTTGCATCTGCTGAGATTAATTAGCTGTGGTGGCCATCTTGAATTGAGTGGCACATTCAGGGATTACTTTGAGTTTCAAAAAAACCTGTCCAGTGGATCATGAGATATTTTGCTAACAAAGAGAATCAAACAAACAAACAGAACGGTTAGGTTTATTTGTCATATGAAGGTCAACACAAGGTCAACAATGCAATGA